AAAGAAAAATCTTCTTTTCCTCAAGGCTTTCTTGAGTTGGTTTCTGTCACCTACAAAAACAAACAACAGCGACGCCACCCTGGACCGTCAGTCCCTGCTCCTTCCCAACACCTGGGTCTTGGGCCTGATGTACATGGTCCTCAAAGGCAAGGAGAGTCAGACCTAGTTTCATTCCAAATCAGTGGCCTCAGACACCATTTTTATCACACTGGGCCCTGAGCTCATCGGGATGCACCCAGAGCTGGCTCAGAATGTCACGGGGCGGGGGGTGGGGTGGGGAGAAGACAAGGAACAAAAAAAGAAAAAATCTGCATTCCCATATTCAAATGAGCTTCTGCAGGAGAGGGAGCAGACAGCAGTCCCTCTGCAGCGGTGGCAGGCACTGGACCCAGACCTGACGCCGGCCTGGCCCTCCCCGGCAGGCCGCTGGCTCTCGGCGGGCCCTGCTCCCTCATTATTTCCCATTAGTGAGCCATGTCCTCCACAGTGGGGCAGAGCTCCGTGGGGCCAGGGCACTAGCTGGCCCTCCCTGAAGGCAGCAAGGTCTTTGCTGACGTCTCTAGAGAAGCTGGGGGCAGAGCTGTCACCCTGGGAGGGCACCGGGGCCTGGGTCCACCCAGCTGGGCTCCACCGCGGCCCTTGCAGCCTCTCCCCTCATGTGCAGCTCCAGTTCAGTCTCCACACACTCAGCAGAGCGTCCTGTTGCCCACCTGCTCCGGGTCATTCACCCCCACCATCTTTGTAGGGTTTCAGCCTAAAGCCATGGAGTGGGGACCCCTCTTCTCTCAGCTCCTGCAGATCACATGCCAGGTGTGGCAGGTCCTCAGCTGCACTGCCCACTCCTCCGCTGGTTCTGGCCCTCTATCCCACAGCAGCCAGGGGTCCTGTGAAAAGCCTCTCAAACCCTCCGGAGTCCCCACCCCACCCCGGGAGAGCCTCACCGTGGCATGAGCTGCCCCTTGCCCCCGGCTCTCTGCTCCACTCACGCTGGCCTCCCTGTGTGTAGAAGAGCCAGACACCCTCCGACCTTGTCCCTCCCACCTGCTGCCCCCTCTCTCCCTCCCTGTCCAGCTCTCTGCCCAGGGGTCTCTTTCTCGGTGGAGGCTCCCTGACCCCTTAACTCTCAGAACCGGACCCAGGTCAATGTGGGCCTCCCAGAGGCAGGTGCAAGATGGGCCTGGAAGTGCAGAGCTTGCTGAGGATGCCTGGGACGGGACGGGGCAGGGAGCAGGACAGTGACCCAGGCCTCCCCTGCCCCCTCCCTGCTGCCACCCTGCAGGTGGGGTGATGCTCCTAGCTAGGGTCTAAGCCCTGGCCCTGTGCCTCTGCAGGCTCTACCGTCCATTCTCAGAAACGGCCAGGCAGGAGAGTACCTCGGAGCCCAAGTGGGCCCTGGATCCCACTCTTACCCTGCCATGCCCACTGGGAGGCAGCCACTTGGTGCATTCTGATGGGTGTTTGCACATGACACAAAATCATATGCTTGTGCCCACAGCCACATGACAGCCCCACGGCTCTGACCCAGAGCCCTCGGTCTCTGTATCCAGGACTTTTCCTCCCAGGCCTCTGACCCTCCTGCCAGGACACTGGCTACTGGCCCTAAATTCCCAGTTGCAGGGGGCCATTTTTTCTCTTCACCAAGTGCAAGGCTGGGCCGGCCTCTCCCTGGGAGAGTCCTTCAGAGCAGGATGCCACATGGGAGCTGCGCTACTGGCTGCAGCCTCTCTGGTGCATTTGTTGGCCTCGGGGCTCCACCGCATGGCTGGGCCAGGAGGATGTCTGTTGGAGTGTGTCTGTTGGGCATGCTTCTCTCCCGGCTGGGGACACTCGGGCTCGTCTTCCGAGTCAGTGGCCTCCAGGTCTGTGTGCTCCCAGGCAGGCGGCCTGCAGGCCTGGCATAGGGGCAAAGGGCCCTGCGCACCCTTAGGGCTTCTGGGCCTCATAAGGTCGTGCACATGGGTGCTGACAGAGAGCCTGGCTGACAGGGGCGCTCAGCACTGCCAGCCACTACCATTACCAAACCCCTAGCCAGCCTCAGCCTTCCCTGCTCCTGTTGAACTCCATTTAGAGGAAGATGTCCAGCTCACAGAAATTTGGTAACTCACCCCGAGGTCACCCAGTTGGGTCCTCAGCACCAGCATCTGAGACAAGTCCACCCTAGCAGTGGGCCCTTTGGAGAGGGCCTTGGTCCCCGAGCTCAGCCTCCTTCTCAGACTTCCTGTGAACATGACCTGCAGGATGTGGGCACCCTGTCTACCCTCAGTGTGGAAAGGGCATTCCCCAGAACTACCATGGGGCGGTAGAGCCGAATTGTGCTTGCCCAGCTGCTGACATAGAGGCCACTAGGGAAGTGCCCTCTGCCCCAGGGGTCTGGCCCAGTTGGCTCTTGGGATGGACAGAAGGCAGGGAAGTTGTGGACAAAAGGTGGAGGAGGGGGGATGGCAGGTAGGACTTCAGTGCCCTGTTCTTGTTCTGCTTTGGGTCCCAGCCTCCACTTGTCACAGGCTTGGTTAGCCTCCTTTGAGCCTCCATAATAATGGCCATCCCCGGGACAGATACAGCTGGAGCGAGGCTTTACAAGGAATTTACAGACCCCTGTTGACTCTGCCTCTCAATACTGGGCACTCAGCCATTTATATTCCCATCTTGACAAGGGACACTGAGGCTCCAGCCTGTAAGGGACCCCTCCTAAACCCCACCCACCTCCATCTCCTGTGGTCTCATGGCACCTCGGCTAAAGTCAGCCTCCTTCCCGAGTGGTGGGAGGGGCTGGACCTGGGGGAGCCTGCCAGCACCCCACCCACAGCAGGCTTCAACAGTGGGTCTGATGGGGTCCACCTGGTCCAGGCACACCTCCTGCCCACAAGCCAGTGGGGGTGGGGCAAGGGAACACTGGGAGCCTGCCAGGGGAGCAGGTCTGTGAGACATCCGGAAGGGGTGAGCTGGAATCCCACCCTAAGCAGGCTCCTGGGAGCCACGAAGCAGTGGGCGTGCTGGGGCCATGGACCTGGGGGGGGGGGTCCCCTCTGCAACCAGCCAAGGGGGAGCAGAGAGAATCCCTGCCCCCACTCCCCAAAGTTTCAGAATCACCACTTGGGGCTGGAAGAGAGGGCAGATCTCCACATGGCCAAGAAGCTACTGTGAGCATTGGGGGGCTCAGATGCAGCGCCTGGGGTCCTTCTGCAGCCCCTGCCCCCAGCAGTCTCCCCCACCCCCCCACACCCCACCACTGCATTTCTGTCCTCTTTGAGACATCCACTGATGTGAGCTGCTGGTGACAGAGCACAGTCTAGGCTTCCCTCTCCCTCGGGCACTGTTCCCTGTCTGCTGTCTGATGTCTGACTGTTGGCGGGTCCCTGCCTGATGCTGGGTGACTGTTTCCCTGACTGTGGGAGTCTGTGTGTCTGAGCGTGGGCGTGTCTGTCTGTCTGCGGTGAGCCTCTCCCGCTGACTGCCCTTGACCCTGAGGATCTGAGCACGTGTGTGGAGGGAGGGGGCGCTGCCTCTCTCGCCTGCTCTCCTCCTCCACCCCTCCCGCGGGCGCTAACGCACGCAGCCTCCGCTGCCCTGGCTGCGCTGGGAGCGCAGTGACCTCGCCTGTCCGCTGCTGCAGCCGTAACCGGCCCACCGCGGTGTCTGCCGGGGCATCAGTGGTCCAGCTCCGAGTGGCTTGCCGCTGCCCCCTCCCTCTCCTGAGGGAACTCCTGAGCTCTGGGTGGGCATGCTTCTCTCCCGGCTGGGGCCACTCGGGCTCATCTTCCCTTTCCCTTATGTAACTCCACATCTGTGCGCGCCTTGCAGGTCACCCTGGACCCTGCTCTGCGCCCTGTCACAGGGAGACTGACACCAGGGTCCGGTGCATATAGGGGGTGGTGGAACAAAATCCTGGTCAGGACACTGGTCTGGAAGACCCCCTACCCCACCCACCCCTTCTCCTCCGGAGTTTCATCCCCCAGAAACCCACTTGCCCAAAACATGAAACGAGGAGGAGGGGCCCTGAGGGGCAAGTTCCTCAGAGAGGGGMGTAGGCCTTTCTCCACCCCCACCTCAGGCCCCCGCAGGAGCCCCGGCTCCCAAGAAGATCTGGGCAAGGGTCACCAGTGCCGAGAGCATCTGGAGGGCCTAGGAGCCCAGATAACGATCCCCAAATGTGACCGCATGCTGCCCCCCCCCCTCCCCGGGCCGGGCTGCCTGCCAGCCACCGTGCGCACCCAGGCTGGGGCTACAGCCGACCGGGCGGGCACGCGGCGCTGTCCGTGGTGCTGCCCGCGCCGGGCGGGGCGGGGGCGGGGCGGGGGCGGGGCGAGGGCGCCAGCCAATGGCGGGGGCTCTGCGCTGGGCGCGGGGGGCGGCGGGCTGGGCGCCGGGCGCACTCTGCTGCGCGCTGCGCTCGGGGTGCACCGACGCTCCGGCGGCTGCTGGGGTTCCAGCTCCGCTCCCGCTGCAGCTGCCTCCCTCGCCGCCCGCTCTGCTTGGCTCCGATTTCGACCCCAGCCACTTCGGCGCTGCTTGCCCCGGCCTGGGCCCCGGCCCCGCAGAACATGCCCCGGGCACTCCCCGGGGAATCCACCTGGGCAGAGAGCCCGCAAAGACGAAGACCCCGGGCCGGGACCCCACCCTGCCGCCCTACTCTCAGCCGGTGCACTACCCCGCGTCCCCGCGCCGCGTGAGCCTGCGGGGTCATGGAGCGCTCGCCGCCCGACGGGCTGCTGAACGCGTCGGGGGCGCTGGCGGGCGAGGCGGCAGCAGCGGGCGGGGCGCGCGGCTTCTCTGCCGCCTGGACCGCGGTGCTCGCCGCGCTCATGGCGCTGCTTATTGTGGCCACGGTGCTGGGCAACGCGCTGGTTATGCTTGCCTTCGTGGCCGACTCAAGCCTCCGCACCCAGAACAACTTCTTTCTGCTCAACCTCGCCATCTCTGACTTCCTCGTGGGTAAAGCCCCCAGACCCCGCCGGTTGCAGGAGTCCAGAAGCGCCTAGCTCTGCTGGGCCAGCGGGCTAGGGGAGCAGACCTGGGGTGGCTCCCGCAGGCGCACGCTCCTCCCGGGAGCCTGGTCTGGGGAAGGGGCGTCCAGAATCTGTGGGGTGGTGGGAGGGGCGAAGTTCCTGGCCTCCTGGGCCGTGGGACGCAGTTAGGGAGGGACGTCACGGGGAAAGGACCCCCGAGCAGGAGGGCGCTCTGCAAGGCGCCAGGCGCAGCAGCCGTGGGTGCAGCGCTGTCTCCTGCGCCGTTGCCAAACAAAGGCTGCGGCGGACTCAGGACGCGCGGAGGGCGCTGGAGGGAGGCTGGGGGAGGGGACATGGAAGGGGGATTTTTAGAGCAGTGTTGGGGAAGGGGGCCGTGGGAAAGGCGGGGGTTGGGTGGAGAAGATGCTCGCAGGAGCGCTCTCACGTGTCCATGCTCTGCTGCCGGCTGGGGGGCGGGGCGCGCGGAGGGGGCCGGAGCGCCAGACACCTGTTGGGGCTGAGATGCATCTCCCAGACGCTGGGAGCCGGGTTTGGCGGTGGCAGCGACTGGCGGGGACGCAGCCAAGCGCTCTTTAAGCTAGGAGAAAGGATTTCTGGGCTTTTAAGCTGAGGAGGGAGGCTGACTAACAGCCAAGGCCAGGGCTGGGGTCCAGCCTGGTGGAGGGTGGGGAAGAAATGCTCTTCCTTCTCTTTGGAGGCTGAGAGAGCCAAACGGAAGCCCGAGTCTGGGTTCAGAGGTGCCATGCCTGGATCCTCCCTCCTGCCCACAAGTCCAGGGGACAACAGTGGAGCTAGGGACTCTGTGGGGACTGAAAGCTAGCTGCCACACTGAGATGGTGCCCAGTGGGGGGATGGCAACGTAAGAATAGCTGTTCCCAGACAAGCGGCTGCCCTGTCATCGTCTCCCACTCCTGCCAGGGCCCTGTGTCACTCTGGTGGGTCTGACCCAAGGCCCTGTCCACCACACTCCATTCTCCCACAGGTGCCTTCTGCATCCCGCTGTATGTGCCCTATGTGCTGACTGGCCGCTGGAGCTTCGGCCGAGGCCTTTGCAAGCTGTGGCTGGTGGTCGATTACCTGCTGTGCACCTCCTCAGTCTTCAACATCGTGCTCATCAGCTATGACCGCTTCTTGTCAGTCACCAGAGCTGTGAGTCCTGTGACATGGGGGGGGCAGCAAGTGATGGCCTCAGGGAGTCCTGAGCAGGTGGGCACGTGGACGTGGGTGCGCGGTGCCTGGTGGGCAGGCCCCCACTGGACTTGTGGGCACTCTTTGGCCAGGTGCCCATTCCGTCGCTATTTGCTGCCAGTAGGACTGGTCCTGGCACAGGCAGGAAGCAGGGAGTCTGATCTGGAATCATATATTCCTGCAGGAAGAGGTGTCACTGCCCAGCCTCTGCCCCAGGGCAGGTCCAGAGTGTCTGGAGGTGAGGGAGATCTGTTCCCTCTCACATGTGGGCACACGTGAGTGTGCACTCACGCGGCCCCAGGAAGTCCATACGCACAAGACCCCTGGTGTCAGTGGGGCCACACAGGCACCAAGGCAGGGTGGGGCCCTGGCGGTCTCTTTTATCTCCTCATCTTCTTGATGGCTCACGGCCCCCAGGTCTCAGCAGGTACCCCTTGCTGGAGGACCACACTTCTTTCAAGTCTAAAAAGCTGAGGGACAAATGCAAAGAGTACAAGCCTGGGTCCTCTTGACCGCCACTTGTGGTCCTTCTCTCCAGTCACCAAGGAAGTGGGGCAGCAGGAGTTAAGTGGAGTGACGTCCAGAGCCTGCATGGTAGTCACCCCGTGTGCCGCAGACCTGGGTGTAGCATGAGCTCTGCTCACCCTCCTGTTCCCACCAGGATAAAAGCCACCGTGCTGTTGCGGGGGCGAGGGAGGGGGCTGTCAGGTCACTTCCCCCTGGGCTGTGCCTTTGGGCCCTTCAGCAGGACCCTTGGCCCTCCTGTCACCCTTCCCCCTGCTGGCTAGCTGCTTTCTGCACTAGGAGTCTTGGGGAGGGCTTGCTGGCTCCGCCCTCTCTACTCCTCCTTCCAGGGATTCCTGGAATGGGGATCAGGGAGGTTTGGTGTCTTCCAGCAGTGGGCCAGCATGTGGCTTCATTCCTGTATCTCCAGCTCCCAGGGGGTAAGCACCTGAGCAGGGGCCAGGCTGGGACCACCCCCTTTGGCACAGTCAGCCTCTGAAGATGGCTCAGGCCTCCTCAAGATGTTTCACATCAGAAACAGGGTGGCCCCAGGTGCTGGCCTATGCGAAGTCTGCTGCTGGGGATACACTGAAACACTGGACCAATGACAGGACACCAGGGGGGTACACGGCTGATGCAGAGGGACAGTAAAGGAGCAGGACTCTGTGGACTGCAGGAGACACTGAGACAGGGCACCAGCCAGCCAGGGGTGTTGGTGGGCATGGGAGTGGAGGGAAGGGAGGAGAAGAGGAACATTGCTGGTAGCAAGGGAATGTGCAGAGGCCAAAGCTGGCCTGGGTTTAGTCCCTCCCGACCACGTGCCCCTCTGCAGGTCTCATACCGGGCCCAGCAGGGCGACACCCGGCGGGCAGTGCGGAAGATGGCACTGGTGTGGGTGCTGGCCTTTCTGCTGTATGGGCCGGCCATCTTGAGCTGGGAGTACCTATCTGGTGGCAGCTCCATCCCTGAGGGCCACTGCTATGCTGAGTTCTTCTACAACTGGTACTTCCTCATCACGGCCTCCACTCTCGAGTTCTTCACGCCCTTCCTCAGCGTCACTTTCTTCAACCTCAGCATCTACCTGAACATCCAGAGGCGCACCCGCCTCCGGCTGGATGGTACCCGGGAAGCAGGCCCCGAGCCCCCGCCTGAGGCTCAGTCCTCGCCACCTCCCCCACCGCCTGGCTGCTGGGGCTGCTGGCCCAAGGGGCATGGGGAGGCTGTGCCCCTGCACAGGTATGGGGTGGGCGAGGCTGGCCCTGGTGGAGAGGCTGGGGAGGCCACCCTTGGAGGAGGCAGTGGTGGTGCTGCAGCCTCCCCCACCTCCAGCTCTGGCAGCTCCTCGAGGGGCAATGAGAGACCACGCTCACTCAAGAGGGGCTCTAAGCCCTCTGCGTCCTCAGCATCTCTGGAGAAGCGCATGAAGATGGTGTCCCAGAGCATCACCCAGCGCTTCCGGCTGTCACGGGACAAGAAGGTAGCCAAATCCTTGGCCATCATAGTGAGCATCTTCGGGCTCTGCTGGGCCCCATACACACTTCTGATGATCATCCGAGCCGCCTGCCATGGCCACTGCATCCCCGACTACTGGTACGAGACTTCCTTCTGGCTCCTGTGGGCCAACTCAGCTGTGAATCCTGTGCTGTACCCGCTGTGCCACTACAGCTTCCGCCGAGCCTTCACCAAGCTGCTCTGCCCCCAGAAGCTCAAGGTGCAGCCTCACGGCTCCCTGGAGCAGTGCTGGAAGTGAGCCAGCCCACCCGGGCCCCCAGCCGCTCCCCTCGCAGACCCTGTCTCCTGGGCAGCTGGGCCACACATACCTGCCTGGCTCACTCCCAAGGATGAGCCACGGCCTGCAGCCCACCCTAAACACCATGGCAGCCTCTTTTAGACTGTCTGCCCTGGGGGAAAGCTGGTGGGCTGGTCAGGGGCCCTCAAGGGCTGAACTGCCACCTCCTTTTGCTTCACTCCAGGAAGGTTCCAGACTTGCTGTTCAACCCCACCGACAGTGCAGTGCCTGTGGTGTCCACCATTTGCACACTTGGTAGTTACTGGGTGTGTGCTCCAGCCCCCTGCCAGCAGTGTGCCCCTGCACTTGCGCACGCCTGCACTCACCTGCACACACCTGCACACCTGCACTCCTCCCAGGCACGCTGGGCCTGCCTTGGCCGCTGTCTGTCTCACTCAAGCCCAGAGCCTGGCCCCTTTAGCCTTTCCTCCCAGATCCCTGCCTACCATGTGTCAGGTGCCCCAGGAACCTCGAAGCCGTTCTCTACTTTTTCTTTCTGGGTGTTTTCAGGAAGATGAAGAAAACACGTCTGTGAACTTGATGTTCCTTGGATGTTTAATCAAGAGAGACAAAATTGCCGAGGAGCTCAGGGCTGGATTGGCAGGTGTGGGCTCCCACGCCCTCCTCCCTCTGCTGCGGCTTCCGGCTGAGCTGCGCCAGCTGCTTCTGCCCGCCCCGCCCCTGGGCTCGGGAGCTGGTCGGACCACTGGCTCTGAGAGTGGTCAGAGTCCTTGTGCCTGCTGGGTGGGCCAGAGCCTGCCCCGCCACCCCATCTACTCAACCAGAATGTCTTGGGGACTGTTGGGTAGGGGGTCCCAAGGCTGGCAGGAGTCATCAGAGAAGACCAGGGCCAGGATGCCCAGGGAGGGGCCGCCTTGCCACATCCTGCGCACCTGCTTTAGGTGCTCTGCATGCTCCGCTCACTCTCTGTGTGCCCACTGCACTGCCCTTGCCACCGTGAAGTCACAATAAAGCGTATTTTTTTATTGGTGCTGATTCCTGAGGACTTTGTGGAGTGGTCAGAGTCCGTGAACTCCAATCAGAGGCTCCAGGAAGACACCCCCCCCCCCAAAGGACATAGACACAGACCTTGGCATTCTGGATGAAGGACTTGGTAGGAGGAAATAGGTCTGCCACTTCCAGTTTCATGCCCCTGTGGAAGAAGAGGCCCAGCCATGCATGTGTGTGGGAGGGTGGCTGGGAGGGAGTCGCCCCAGTCTCGAGGATGCAGACCTGTACCCCCACCCTGACAGAGCACCCCGCCCCCAGGACAGGGGTGCTTGGGCTTCTTTGCAGCTGGGTGTCCTCACAGCCATGACCTTCCCTTAGGGAGCAGGGCAGCGAGACCCAGGACACAGGGCCATGCCTGTGCACTGAGTTAGGGTTGGGGAGGGCCCTGGGCATGCCCTTGTGCTGGGTGGGGGTAAAGGGATGGGCACAGTGGCCATGAAAGGCTCCTGGGGACATGGGGACATGGGGGCTAGAGCTGAGTTGCTGGGGCTGCCCTGAGGGGATGAGCCAGAGGAGGGGATAAGAAGCTTCTTTGGCAGAGGCACTGTCCTGGGCAAAGGCCTGGAGGTGGGGGGGTAGTGAGGTGCGTGGGTGGAGCAAGGGTAGTCTCCTCCTTGGGGAGCAAATGGCCTAAAGGGCTGCCCTCCCCTAGGAACCCAGAGGCCACTTGGAAAGCAGGAGAGCTGGGGCCCTGGCTCTCACCTGTCCTGCTGCCTTGCTCTGCAGGGTTCACCTCTCCTTCCCTGGGCAGGAGTGAACCCAGCATCTCACAGAAGCTGCCTCTGGACCAGGCACCATGCAGTCCAGATGTGTGAGTGCACTCCACGCAGTGCCGGGCTCCACAGCAGCTCAGTCTCAGTACCGCAGAAGGGACCAGCCTCCAGCAGCTCCCTCCCCAGACACCCCCTACCCACCTTCTACACCCACACTTTGTTTTCCAAACTCTCTAGAAACCTCCTGCCACGCCCCTTTCTAAGCCTGGGACCTGCCCTCTCCAACACCCTTTTCCTGCTTCAGAATTTTAATCCTGCCAATCTCTGATTCAGGCAGGACCCTCCTCTTGGGCAAAAGCATTACAGGCTCTTCTTAGTGACCAGAGGGAGGGTGACCCCGGGATGCTGGCCTTCATTCACTGTGCTTGTCTAGGCCTGCACCTCCTGCCCCACGCCTCCTGGCTGGGTACTGTTCTGAGAGCCAAGAGCACTGAGCACTGAGGCCACCTTCAGCATCAGGCAACCCGCCCCGCCTCCTGGAGGCCCTGCACCTCCCCAGCAGGCTAGCCATTGGCCTCCAAACCCCTGCACCACCTGGCCTGCCCCCCAGCAGGTGTCTGTCCAGAGGCCTAAAGCTGTCTGAGAAAGGACAAAGGACTGTGCTCTGCTGCTGTGGGTGCTTCCTTGCGACAGCACAGCCAGAGCCTGGCCGCCCCTCCGCCCGGCCCTGCTAAATGGCTACAAATTGGAGGATAAAAGCACAGGCTTTCAAGCAATTTTGCCTTCAATCTCTGGAAACTGCCGCTCCTGGAGCTCCTGTGCAGGGACGGAGGAGGAGAGAAGAAAGGCACCAAGCCTATTGGGCCCTCTGCAGAAACAAACACGCCCGGGGCCTTCTTCTGCAATCTGAGCCCCGGAGGAAACAAAGCCCTGGGCCCAGGGCCCAGCAGCACAGCTGTTGTTTACTGAGTACCTACTGTGTACCAGGCATAGAGTGGGAGCAACACAGATGTATTCCCTGAGCTGTGGGGAGGTGACAGATGACTTAAGGGGCAAGGTGTGCCACAAGACAGGTAGCTGCCATGGGCGCATGAGGTCAGCTTGGTTGCCCACCAGTAATCACTAGGAGCCACCTAGAGCAGGAGGCAGGATCACAGCCTGGCTGGGTAAGCCCCCCAAAAGAAAGCTTAGGGACATCAGGGACCAGCCAAGTAGGTGTTGCCACGGTTCCTGCCCTGCACTGGCTCTGAAGGTGCCCCCTGGGGACAGGTTCTGGGCACATGCTGTGTGGGGGTCCTTCTCTGCCTGGCATGAAGACCCTGAGCTCTCAAGGTGCTCACCAGGCAGTCCACTGTCCTCCTTATGCAAAAGGCCAAGGTACTGCAGGGCCAGGAGGGATGGCTGGGTCTCCCTGGCAAGGCTTCCAGAGCCCTGAGATGCCAGAGTCATAAGGCTACTGGTCATCACCTCTCTGCACCCCAGTGCCCCCCAGCACTCATGTGAGGAACCTTCCTCCAATAATTATTGGTGCACCTCTGCAGCCCAGGGGGCAATGTGTTCTCCTCTCTGCCTAGGAGAAAGCCAACAGGCACAGGGGACTTGGCCCACGTCGGCAGGGAGGTGGCATCTGGAGCCAAGCCTGACACTAAAGCCCACACGTTTTCCATTTCCCCACCTTCTCCCTAAGAACCTGCTGTGTGCGGGGCACTGCAGGAGAGTGGAGTATGAAATAATCCCCATAGGGCCGCATCCTCCTGAGAGACAGGATCTAGGCCTCTATTCCCTGCATGCATGGTGGCAAGCAGTGGTGTCCCCAGGAGGGGAAAGGATGGGGCACCCAGGGAGAACTCTAAACCTCAGAATTGAGCCCTAGCTCTGTTGCTCCTAACAAGAAACATTGGGTGCTCATTGTATGTCTCCATTGTGCACAGGAAGGCGCRGAGAAAGCAGCTGACCTCCATCAACCCCTCTTGGGCCAGGACTATGGGGGAGGACAAAAGAGGGGCAGTAGAGTGGCTATAGAGCTTCAGATCCCAACATCTAATTGCCCAGGTTGCAAGAGGTGTGTGCTTTGAAGGGAAACTGAGGCTTCATCCCAGCCCAGCCCCAGGTCTGCCTAGAGGTCAGAAGTGAAATGCAGGGCTGGGGATGTGGCTCAAGCGGTAGCGCGCTCGCTTGGCATGCGTGCGGCCCAGGTTCGATCCTCAGTACCACATACCAACAAAGATGTTGTGTCCACCGAAAACTGAGAAATAAATATTAAAAATTTWAAAAAAAAGAAGTGAAATGCAGGCTGAAGGGGACACCAGCCCTTTCACACCTCATCCCCACAGGGTTCCAAGGCCAGGTAGGGGCAGGGGTTGCTGGAACAGATGCTGCTGCTGCTGCTTCTTTCAAAGTTTTTTCCTTCCTTCCTTCCTCAGCTTCTTCCTCCTTTGAAGGGCTCAGCCATGCCCAAGACGGCCGCCAGGTGCCTGGCACGACTCTCTTGTCTGGAGTGGCTCAGCAGACCCCTTGTCCTGCGTGCAGGCAGCAGCTCGTTAATGAAACTGCCTCCAGGGACAGGGGACAGTGCTGTGCTAACTTGTCGTCGGTGCCTGGGTCACCTGCCAGCCTGTGGGCTACAAAGGGCTGGGGGCTGAAGATAGCCCCTGCTGCCCTGGACCTGGAGGGGTCACCTTCCCCACAGGCTTCTCTCTTCCTTCCCCAATGTGCGAGTGGACATGGCATCTGGAGTTGGCTGGACGGGAAGTTTGGTCAGGGACCAGATAGYCCTTCCCTCCCTGCGACCTGGTGAGGGCAGGGGGACGTCTTCTTGCTCTGAATGTCCAGGCCTTATGGCTTATCCAGTGGCCAGTGCTGAGGTGGGACCATCCCAAGGTTGGGGATCTTAGAGGAGAAGTCAGAGTCAAGGGTCAGGGCCAAGCTCCAGAGGTTCCTAAGTTTCTTTTAGAGGACAGACAGAGAGCAGGGAAGGGGCAGAGTTGAGGCTGGGACTCCCTCACTGGGGCCCACCTGGGAAGGGCCTGGCATGCGTGTCCACTATAATAACATCAAGGGCAGTGCTGTGCTGTAACAYTGCGTCCTGGGCACTGTTCTGAGCCCTTTCCTTCAACTCATCTAGCCCTTGAGCAGGTCAAGTTTATAGATGAGGAAACTGAGGCACAGAAAGGGTTAGTGACCTGCTCATATCACAGAGCTAATGAGAGAGGCTAATCTAGGGCTGCTTTCCTTCTGGAACCCTTAGCTCTCTGGGCAACCTTCTTGTCCTCTTCCAGGAACAGGACGCTGGGCACCTTCCTGGGAGAAGCACTTTTCTTTGGGGAACCATGCCTTCCTCACTCCAGCAGTGCCACCCAACCCTGGGCTTAGGATGAGTGGGGGTCCCAGGCATGGCCAGCCAGAATCACCAGGATGGCCTCAAGGTGGCCCACAGCCACAGCCTGGTAAGCCAGAAGCAATGCTGGTACTTTGGCAGGAGCCTTGGAAGGATGGGCCTTCTCCAAATGCCGTTGCTGGCCTGGCAGCCTCCAAGGCTGAGGTCACCTGAGCGGGTTAGCCAGTGCGGAGACAAGCCAAGCTGAGAGGTGGAAGGAGAGCCTCCTGAGGCCATCGTCTGAGCACCTGGATGCAGCTTTGCCTAAAGTGAGGCCTAGTGCTTCAGGTTTCACAAGTCATCCACACACTTTCCTTCCTAAAGCCATCATGATGAGAAAGATCCTGCTCAGCAAGACACAGCCCAGGTGGCATCCTGACCATGATGCATCGGTTCTTTGATGAATAAAAATGTGGAGTTAAGTATCCAGTGGCG